ACAAGGTAGCAAACACAAGGCAGGAACACTTCCTGCCTCCTGTTTTTCTGTTCCAGCACCCATGGCTCATTCTTTGTTTCCACACAACAGTGTGCATATGATTCTGTGGGGGAGGTGGGGAGGTCTGTCCAGGCAAAGGACCCAACAGGGGTGATGCATTAGGCCGTGAAAATGTTGCCCAGGTTGAAGAGTTGGAGTTCTGTTCCCAAGGCGGCGGGACCCAAGAGCTTCATCATTGCCACTCAGTAGTCCTTTGGCTCCTCAATGTAACTACATATTGGCCTACTGGAGGGTTCCACGGTCACTGTAACTTTGCTTTATGTTGTCAGCAGCCCCAAAGGTCCCCCTGGGCAATGATGGCAACCTTGTTAGCTGTGGCACTTCACCAGTCTGATGGTAGGGTGGGCGCTGTGTCCCTTCCCCGGCCAACTCACAGTGCACAACCCCTGCGCCCAGTCCCTCTCCTGCACACTAGCCCTCCCCCACCCCACCTGCCAGTTGCCCCAGCTGCACCTTCCGACTGCCCCTTCCGGCTGCCCTCCCTCTAGGCACTCTTGTTGATAACCACAGATTTCTGCTTCCCTTTTGGTCCTGCCTCTTCTTTTCCCATCATTTTCTCTTGCCTTCCTTCTCCCCTCATCACCTTCCAGTTCCTCCAAGAACGTTCCCATCACCTCAAGCTAAGACACCAGGCAAGTTCCTACGTGTGATGTTCCCAGGCACATGCATGTGGCGGCATGTGGGGAGAGGCACAGGCATGTTGGCATGGCAGCCAGCAGCACTCTCCCGTCCCTGGTAGAAGGTTGGCTGCTGGGATGATGGTGTGAAAAGCTAAATGCTTGTCGCCACCACGCATGCCCCAGCGGGCAGCCCTGTCTGTTCTCTGGCGCTTCAGACCTGGGAGGAGGGCAGGCAATGCCAAGCTGACCCCTGGACTGGACCTTCCCCTTCCCAGCTGTCAAGAGGGTGCACCCTGGTTACCTTCAAAGCTCATCTTTGAGGCTAAACTGCTGCCTGTTTTTCAGGAACATACAATGTTTCCACCCCAGAAACAACCAGCTCATCCCTGGAAAATACATCCAGTGCTTACTCCTTGCTCAACTAAGAACAGAAGGTCCAATCCACATGACTTCTTGGAAACAGTGGATGTTCTGAACAGGAGATCCTTTCAACACTATGGGTAAAATGTTTTCTCCACAGGCTTCTGGGAGCAGATGTTAAAAAGACTTTTCACAAAGGCAGAGGCTTTCTTTTGTAAAGACAGACTAAGAGTAATTGTTACTCATGTTTTGCTGCCCCACCTTCCTCCCTATGTGATAGCAAATGTGTATAGTATTTAAGTGATGCTCATGTATCCCAAGGCCCAACTTCTCTGCCTCTATTGTAAAACAGAATTTCAAAGTGACACTTCCACTTTTCACATATTGGGCACAGAGATAAGCTTTGATTAAAATAATAAATAAAAGGCTAGTACCTAGACATGCTTCAGTGAAGTCTAGAAAGACTAAATGGATAAACGGAAGGAAGGAAGAAAAACAAAGGGAGGGAGGGACAGAGGAAAGAAGAAAACAGGAAGAAAAAGAAAAAGTAGAGATAGACTTCTGAATGGACCCTATTTGAGGATTTCATGTTAATGATCTAATCTAATTGCAGATCATCTAATTTAATTCTCTGCAACCTGAGAATTAAAAAGTGGCTCAAGAATGAAAACTGAAAAGCAAGCCTCAGGGAAAGTTTGCTATTACAATACCCAATCTTCACTAAGAGCGAAATGGGGAAGCAGCAGCACAATACAGAGGAAATGACATCCTTGGGATGCTTTTAAGTGGGTCACAATATGTAGGGGAGGTAGGGGCCGAGACGGGGCTCCCCTGAGGCTGGGCACACGCATTTACTTGGTATGTTTTGGTCTAAGCTAAGTGAGTGAGCATGCAGAGGAAGTGTGGTAGCTCTGTCCCATCCCTGAGATTAGTCATCTGGATTCACTTTTATCATGCATCAGTAAAGGCTCACATTTTGGTTTGCTCCACAATTTGAAGCAAAAGGTCTATATATTTGTATATCCATGAATTGCCAATTTTGATATATTGCACTGAAAACAGATTCCAACTGTCTTATATTATATTTAACAATGTTAACCAGGTACTTCTCTGTGCATTATAGAATAGATTTAAATAACTTCATAGCATTGTATATTATTGTCATTGTTAATGAAGACATGGAGGCCTTGGCGTGTTGTATGGCTCTCTGTGTGTTAGTTCTCTCAGTCCTCAATTCCCCAGACCAACGTGCATTAAGAATTTTGTGTGGTCTAATCAGTGTTTATTCTAACCATTTGGGAAACTTCCAGAAAAAAACTTTTACCGCCGGCTAGTCTATGCTCTAAAGGGTATTACCTTGATGGACAGATGATGCAGCTTTTCCCCAAGGATTTGGTTGGTTGTGAATTGTGTGTATATGTATACATTTCATGAAAATACAAGTATTTATTAAAATTGCATACAATTAAAGTTAATCATGTGCAGTAGCTACAGCAACCATAGATTCCAAGTCAATGTCTGATCCCAAGGAGAAAATGAGAAAGAATAAAAATATAGGCTACTCTGGGAATGTGGGCTCTACATTCTCATTCAGGACCGTGAGTCCAGATGGGCCCAGTCACCAGGAAGACTGGACAAGAGCAGCCAGACTCAACAGTCATTTATTAAGATTCAAAAGTGTCCTTCTCATGTATGAACTTTCTAAAACCCCTTCCTTTTATTTGTAATTTTGAGCTGTCCTTCTGCCTCTTTTCTTCATGGGGGAGGGGAGATGAGGCAGAAGGAAGCCCCAACAATGTTTTTCCTCAACGAACATTGTTTCTTCCTATTCTCCAATGATGGAGACATCCTCCATTTGCTTGAAAACTACCGCATTGTTATCCCAGTTGGATATCTCATGAAGTCCCTAAGAGAAGTGATCGCTGGGTGATAAAATTCTCCTTGTCTAAAGGACTTTGGACAGAGTTCAGTACTGAGAAGACAGAGCCGAGATTAGGTCTGAGGATTTACTGACTAAGGAATAGATAGGAGAAGGAGGGGGCAGGACAAGGGGAGATAGAAAAATAGATGTCAGAGAAAGAATAACTTTGACTAGTTTGGTCCCTGGTGTTCAAATCAGGAGTTTAAAGCAGGATTATAACTTGGTCCTCCTGACACCATCTGCCAAGGAAAGCCAGGCATTCTGGAGAAGGTGTGGTTCTCATGTTCCAAATTACAATGGAACAAGAAACCTTGACCTTCCACCCACTTCCCTAGGGATTCCGCAAGAGTCATTGTGTTAGTTGCTGTAATGCAGGAAGCTTCACCAGAGGGCCACAGAGGTGGGTCAGTGCCTCTGCCACATGCATCAACTGAGGCATAACCCCTTACATCATTCTCTCTCACACACACACACACGCACACACACATGCACACACAGACATGAACATATCTCCCACTTTCAAACCACAATATTGTGTCCAAATTCCAGAAAATGAAAAAAGAAGAAATATATTTTTTCTGCCCAACTGCATGACACACCGCTCAGCCCCTGTCCTTTGCCGAGTATATCCTAAAGTAAGCAGTAAAATTCAAAATTGTTAAAGAGGAAAAGCCACCATTCCATATATTATGCAGTGGACCTGCTTGGCCCTGAGGCCCCACCCAGTTTGCAATCAGCAGTGATTCCAAGGCTCCTGGTAACACATTCCTAACCAGAGAGGAGGAAGAAAGAAACTTGCCTCCTAGGTGGGGTCTGCTTCACGTGTCAAGTGCCTCCTACTTTACTGGTTCTGGAAAGCTCTCTGTGTCTGAAACACGGTTCTCCGAACCAACACTGTCTTTCATGCAGGGCCCTTCTATTAAACCCAGTTCTTGCAAAAGGATCTGTTCTAGTGCATGGAAGGTGATATGTGAGCAATTAAAATACATTACAGAAATATTCTCTGAAAGTATTTTTTAAGTCCCGTGAAACATATCAGCTCCCTAATGAGCAGACTGTTTGCCACCTCCCTCCTGTTGCTTCTTGTTTATGTGCAGAAAGAGGCTAGTAACATCCAGTGGGCTTTGCAAGAGGTAGGTTGTTCAGGCCAGAAGTTAAACTAGCCTCAGTTACTTTGTGTAGAAAATCCCAGAAAGGTTTGTGTCAGAAAGTTTAAAAATAATGTTACATGAATATGAAAAACAGGGTAGCAAGCAGGAAGCACAGAAGGCTGGGTGGGCTGGGCGCTGATTCTGAGGTGAGTGGAACAGAAAGTCACAGTCCTTTGAGAAGACACAGGGAAATGAGGGTGGTCACAGAAATACTCTGTGGGTGGGGTGCCTTTTATTTGTGGTAGGGGGTGGTGATACCAATCGCAAGTTGGTATCCTAAAGAAAAAAAGCGGTGACCCAGGCTGACAGAAGTCTGATTTCCAGAGTAATCAAAAACAAAGTGGATATGTCTTTCTTAATGTATGTTTGGAAGTAAACAAACACAGTATCCTGTCATCTCAAAGATGTTAGCTTTGAAATTAGGTGTTATCGGTTTCTAAAATGATCACTTGGGATTTTAAATCGTGTCTCAGCACTATGCCAGCAAGCAGTATGTTGCCTTTCCGTGTTTATGACAATAAAATACCTGAAAACATTTCAGGAAGTGATTTTTTTTTAAGAGGAAACATTGGTTTCCAACACTTCTTCAAATGTGTGATACCATACACCTCCATCACCGCAGTGCTAGAACCCTTCACCCACCATTGAATCATCGCAGCTGTTCCTTCACCCCCTCCCTGCCCCCCTGGTGGCCATGATTTTGTTGTCAGTGAGTAATTTTTGATTTGTTTGATCCTTCCTTCTTCCTTCCTTCCTTCCTTCCTTCCTTCCTTCCTTCCTTCCTTCCTTCCTTCCTTCCTTCCTTCCTTCCTTCCTTCC